TTGGAGTTGGTGGTGGTGCCGTTTCGGGTGCTGTGCCTAGGAAGGAACCGATGCACGAAAGAGACCATGCCATGAATATAGCAGGGGAAGAGCATTCCAGATAAAGGGGGGAGGTATGGAGGAAACAGGTGTTTGCTTGTCTCGTTTGACTGTTGTCTGGGATGATAATTATTCTAACCAAAACCCAAGCACAGGAGTAAATTTTGTTGTTGCTTCCAATAGAAAAGAAAAAGAAAAAATGTTGCCAGTATTTTTTTTTTAACCTTTTTATTTGAAAGGCAGAGTTACAGAGAAGGGGGAGAGAAAGAGTGGGTGAGAGCTCTTCCATCCACTGCTGCACTCCCCCAATGGCTGCAATGGCCAGGGCTGGACCAGGCCAGGGCCAGGAGCTTCATCTGCATCTCCCGCATGGGTGCAGGAACCCAGGGATTTGAGCTGTTTTTGAGTGCTTTCTCAGACAGTTTAGCAGGGAGCCGGACTGGAAGTGGAGCAGCTGACACTTGTACCAGCGCCTATATGGATCGCCAGCTTCACAGGTGGTGGCTTAACCCGCAGTGCCACAAAGCAACCTTCTTTAAGCAGTTCATTACCTTTACTTCTTAAAAATTACTAATAGATTCAGGAGTGCTAGTGGAGTATTTGGCCACCGATTTCTTCTTTGAGCCAGTTCCTAAGATCTCTTAGCAAGACACAGGGAAAATGTGGTTCTATAGAAAGAAAGCTAAACTTGGAAATTGGAAGATGAGATTTGAGAATCTGGTCCTGCCAGTTGAGCAAGTAACCAGACCTTGATTTTTCTGCTCCTGGAGAAAAATTCATGCTGTATCCTCCTCAGATTAATCGAGGTAGATATATATGAAATCTTGTTGAAATTATTGGGCAAGGAACTGTGTGGTTATAGTTGAGTTTAGTTTTAGTAGTTTTTTTTTTTTCCTTTAGATTTATTTATTTGATAGAGAGAGAGAGGTCTTCCATCCACTGGTTCACTCCCCTGTTGGCTGCAATGGCCAGAAGTGAGCCCATCTGAAGCCAGGAGCCAGGAGCTTTTTTCCAGGTCTCCCATGCAGGTGCAGGGGCTCAAGATTTGGGCCATCTTCTAATGCCTTCCTAGGCTGTAGCAGAGAGCTGGATTGGAAGTGGAGCAGCCAGGACTCAAACCCGCCCCCATACGGGATGCTGGCACTGCAGATGGCAGTGCTACCCACTACACCATAGCACTGGCCCCAGTTGAGCTTAGTTTTACATTACATTATTTTCCTCTTGGGTATGTTGTTATTTTCTCTTAGATTGGGTTTAATACTAGAAACAATTAGGCATAATACTTGTACTAGTTAAGCCTCATTGTGGTTCTTCTTGTTTTGCATTGCAGGTATTAAATGAATGTTATTCATTGTTTGTGATCGCTGGAAAATGAGGAAGTTTTCTTGTCCGTATTTATCTGAATGTCACCTGTTTATTCATTTCAGTAAGCGTAAGTGGAGTCAGACATAGCAAGCCGGGGGGCATTGTGCTAGGTGCTGGGTTACGTGTGACTGCCTGCCTGTAAATGTGCTGGAGTTTGGGAGGCAGAACGTAAGTGTGAAATAGCTCTATGTACTGTATTGGAGAAGCAAAGCCTAAGAAGTTGGACTGCGCCTTGTCCTATGACATTTGAGATGGGCCTTGTAGCATTAGAAAAAGGACAAAGATAAATAGAGACAGAAGGAAAAGCCATCCCAGGCCAAGGACACAGCAGGAGCAAAGGCCCAGAGGAGTTAAACACTTAGTGTCTGGGAGAAGCAAAAGAAAGACCGTTTCAGGCTTATTTTTGGAAGACCATACTCAGGTTTTCAGACTTTATTTGACAAGAGTTGGGGGGCTGTAGCAGATTTTTGTGGAGCACATGCAAATGGTTGGCCTTCCTTTGTTAATGAATGCCTCTTTTGAAGAGGCAGTTAGCAGAGAGGTTAAAAAAATTGCAGGTTCCTGAAGTATGCCTGCAGTTTTCATACAGTTCAGAAAAACAAACCTGTGTGCATGGAGAGTGTGTAAGAGCAGAGACAGCAAAATGTTAACAGTAGGTAAATTGTGAGTGTGCAGGTAATCCGTGTGTCACTCTTAACTCTACAGGGTTCTGTAAAGCTTGGAGATAGGAGACAGGGTCAAGGTTTGAATCAGACAGGCTTGTGTTGAAGTCGTGTTCCCTGCTTACAAGTGGCTTGTGAGCATTGGAAAATTCTTTCCAGACTACTGTGCCACAGTCCACACCCATTCCAGTGTAGTTTAACTGAAATTTTTTTCCCTGTAAGAGAGGAAACTTAATTTGGTAGACATCTTGTTCATTAATATTGGCTAAGTTCTACCCAAACTTTGGGCTCTAAGATGTTAGGGATTGGTCCTAGCTTTCTTGTAATGTCTGATGGTGTCTACATGCACAGAGATGGCATGGACTGGAGGAAAAGGCTGGGGGTCAGGATGCTTGGGTTCCAGCTCCATCTCCGCCTTAGCCTGGCAAATGGTTTCCCTATTCTGAACCTTTATTTCTTATGTCACAATTAATCAAAGTTGTGTTTCATGTTCTTTCTAGCTCTGAAGTCCTAGAATGCAGGGAAACGATCACTCCAGGACTTGATCATTAAATTGAACTTTGTCAGTGAGAAACAGACTCATGGCTGTGATAGAGAATTGTGGTTGTCTGGAATCCAGGTCTCCTACATGTTTCTGTGGGTAGTGTTATTTATTAAAAGCAGATACTAAATACCCAAACACATACACTATGTAATACAACAGAATGTCAACCTCATTTGTTTGTTTGTTTTTAAGATTTATTTATTTATTTGAAAGGTAGAAAGAGAGAGAGAGAGAGATATCTTGCATCTGCTGGTTCATTCCCCAGATGGCTGCAACAGCGGGAGCTGCGCTGATCTGAAGGCAGAAGCCAGGAGCTTCTTCTCAGTGAGATATATTCTTTCCATCTTAAGGGGCACACCACTCACAATTGGTTTTATTTTGGTTTACTTAAGCTAATTAACAAACTTAAATGTTTCAGAACTCAACAACTTCTGGGAGTAAATGACCATGCAGGGGACACAGCCTTTGGTGGTCACTGAAAGTGCTCGAGCTCATAAAGTAAATTTGGTAGAGCTCTTGTTTGGGAAATTCTGTATCCTCACTTTCCCAGAATCTGGGTTTAGTGGGATGCAGAAGAAATTATCTCTTAGGCAAAGCTTTAGCACACAATAAGATGCATTGAAACAGCTGAGGCCTTTAACAATTCTGTACTTTTTGACCTTATGTTAAAATATACCAGATAGGACTATCACAGAAAGACAGACTTAAGAGTCCGTGTTTGAGACAGTTAATGTAAAAGAAGCAGCTCAGAATACAGGCAATGAAGTTTGACATTTAGGCCTAACTAGAACTTATGATACATAATAATATAACACACGAGAGTGAAGTAAGTCTTTGGGAACAAGTTTTACCATTAGTGCTAATATTGTAGCTTTGTGGACAGAGGTCCTGCATGGGAAGTTAGTACACAGTGACTGCTGCTGTTAATTTAACAATGAACACTTTGAGGTATGACATCCGGCATCCCCCGAGGCTCTTGACATGAGCTGCCTAGGCTGTGGAAGCCTTTTGAATCCACGGACTCCATCAGTATTCAGACAAGGCCATCGCAAAGTGGAAGTTCCTTCCTCCCTTCAGAGAAAAGTACATCCTTCTGTGATGACCAGTTCTTTCCACTGGGGTCTCACCCAGGGAGGTCTTCCATTTGGGGACACTGTTTGTACAAGTGTCCTGGCTTACCATGCCTGAAATGCTCTCATGGGCTTTTCAGCCAGACTACAACACCTTTAGGGCTGACTCTGAGGTCACTGAGTGTTACTGACGGCAGTTGTTGTTCTATGAGTCTGCTGTATGGACTGCTTCCCATGTTTGAGCATTTGCTCCTCTTTAATCCTATTTATTATTAGTAGTAAACACTTAATCCTATTGATATGATCACTTTAACACTTAGTACCATCTTTGTGATCACTTTAAAACTTAAGATGTTACTTTTACCATCTAGCCCAAGGGGATTTAGCATCCCATGGCAGATTTTTAAACTGTACCCTTAGAAGTAAGTAGGGGCCGGTGCCGTGGCTCACTTGGCTAATCCTCCACCTGTGGCGCTGGCACCCAGGGTTCTAGTCCCGGTTGCTCCTCTTCCAGTCCAGCTCTCTGCTGTGGCCTTGGAGTGCAGTGGAGGATGGCCCAAGTACTTGGGCCCTGCACCCCATGGGAGACCAGGAGGAGGCACTTTGCTCCTGGCTTCGGATCGGCGCAGCCTGTAGCAGCCATTTGGGTGGTGAACCAATGGAAGGAAGACCTTTTTCTCTCTCTCTCTCACTGTCTAACTCTGCCTGTCAAAAAAAAGAGAAGGGCCGGTGCTGCGGCTCACTAGGCTAATCCTCCACCTTGCGGTGCCGGCACACCGGGTTCTAGTCCCGGTCAGGGTGCTGGATTCTGTCCCGGTTGCCCCTCTTCCAGGCCAGCTCTCTGCTGTGGCCAGGGAGTGCAGTGGAGGATGACCCAAGTGCTTGGACCCTGCACCCCATGGGAGACCAGGAGAAGCACCTGGCTCCTGCCTTCGGATCAGTGCGGTGCAGTGGCCATTGGAGGGTGAACCAACGGCAAAGGAAGACCTTTCTCTCTGTCCCTCTCTCTCACTGTCCACTCTGCCTGTCAAAAAAAAAAATTAAAAAAAAAAAAAGAAGTAAGTAGGAAGGTATGCAGAATTATGCAGCTTTACAGTTTCTTTGTAGGACCTGAGAAGACATCAAAACAGACAGCTCTTCATGAGCTTAATTATCCTTAAGCATTTGACATGGATACATTGTATTAGTTACAATTTCTTTTCTTTTCTTTTCTTTTCTTTTTTTTTTTTTTGACAGGCAGAGTGGATAGTGAGAGAGAGAGACAGAGAGAAAGGTCTTCTTTTTTCCATTGGTTTACCCTCCAATGGCTGCTGCAGCCGATGCACTGTGCTGATCTGAAGGCAGGAGCCAGGTGCTTCTCCTGGTCTCCCATATGGGTGCAGGGCCCAAGCACTTGGGCCATCCGCCACTGCACTCCTGGGCCACACCAGAGAGCTGGCCTGGAAGAGGGGCAACCGGGACAGAACCTGGCACCGCGAATGGGACTAGAACTCTGTGTGCCAGCGCTGCAGGCGGAGGATTAGCCTATTGAGCTGCGGCGCCGGCAGTTACAATTTCTTAAGCATGTAACTGAGTTCTGACCATTTTTGCTGCAATACAAATCAAGTTCTGAAATGACATTAAAACTAAGAGACCCATTTATTGGCCATGTTGCACCATTTACCAACCTATAGGTAGGCCATACAGTATTGCAGAGAATAATCCTCCTTTTCTTAGTAATACCATCTAGCCTAAGGGCCTCCCAATTATTAAGTATAGATGCTAAGGGAGTCTGAAAGGGAGCAGATGTAGAGCTACCCATAGTTGAATCACCTCATAACCTGGGAGACAAAAGGTAGATAGGGCTAAGCTTGGGCCCAGTTATGTATCTGAACACGTACTTAACAAGTAATCTGACATCCCAGAGTTACTACACCTACTGTAGAGTTTAATATATATATTATTTAATATATATCATATGTCACACACATATCGTATACTGTGTTACATTATATGTTACATATATGCACCATACATATATATTACATGTTATATGTTACATATACACTGTATATGTATGCATTGTATATACATACATCTATATATCCAAAAAGGGATACGTGCAGAGGCTACTCAAAATAACAAAGAGGGAAATACCTTCTTGGTGCATGGCCAAGAAAATAACAAACTGAAAAATAGAATAAAGTCGCTCAGCTAACCAGGTATGCATCATGTGGCCAGCCATAGGGGCCACCATCTTGGGGTAGAGTCCGTTGCCCATTTTCTGGTAAGGGTGGAAGTTCCCATGGGGGGCCACCATCTTGGAATGGAAGTCCACCCTCTGTGGCAGGAAGTGGAGCATCCACCATGTTTAATGCACTGCCTCCCTGATGTTACATTCCTAGGCGACCACACCAGTTCCCCAGCTCAAAATTAACAGTTGAAAGCATGCTTGATTGGAAAATTAAAGACCCTGAGGCAAAGCAGAATTTCCAGTACCTTTCTAACTGTCCTTAAAATAAAGACTTCTAAAGTTTCAACCTTAGAAAATACATAACTTGTCTTTATAACACATTACAAACAACTTGAAAACTTTTATGTACATTGATAAGCTTTCATGAACTCTTAAAAACTAACCTGCTTCAAAAATCCTTCTCATCTCTCTGCCTGAATCCCATTAGCACTAGAAGCACATTCTCAAAGCAGGAAACAGCAAAAATAAATAAATAAATAAATAAAATAAAATAAAAATTTCCAAAATCTACCAGCGCTAAGACTCAAATAAACTGCCTATGCTCTGTTGCTTATTAGAAGGGATTAAACCGAGTGTCATTTTGGATGAACACACTATCAAGAGCGGCTGTGGTTTCTCTGGCAGGGTGGGGTTAGCTAGAGGTGCGGTGCCACGTGGGAGCCACAGGTGGCAGTCAGTCACTGCTGCTGCAGCGGCAGCCAGGACAGGTAGTGCCAGCACAGTAACACTGTTTGCAGGGCTGTGGCTCTGCTGGCGGCCAATCTGGGAGTGGCCCAGCCCCTGGGAAAATGGCAGGACTCTCGCGCACATCCTGCACTTGTGAGCCAACCAGTGGGGGCAGAGGGAGGGATCCGCAGCTTCCGACCCCATTTCAGCTGCCTCGGCTCCTGCCTTTCCCCCAGGCACGCACCCGTTGCAGCGCCTAGGCCACGTGGCACTGGAGCAGTGTGAGCAGCGAGAAAGCGCAACCAGCCGGCCGGAGGAGCTTACACTCTGATCCAGGCCCTGTGCAAGAGTCAGAAACCACCCGGCCCAGGCAGGGTGTGCAGATAAGGGACAGGGTGGAATGCAGAAAGATAAGCAAAGTTAGAAGCGGAGGGAAGCTGTCCCTTACCATCTTGCTGGTTTTTCCTTTTAAACCAATCAAATATTAATAAATAATTCCTGGGGAATCCCTGTGTTATTAAGGGTCCTATCTGGGGTGCCAAATATTATATAGGACTGCTTATTAATTTTCAATATTAATAAGCTTGTGTACTCTTGCCATGTTTTCAGAGAAAAATTCTGAATACTGGCTCAAATAGACCAGACAACATGGTAAGTTTTTAAGGTTTTTATTCAGTGAGAGAAATGTGCAGGAGAGCGAAGACTTTAGAGGAAAAAGAGAGGTCTGGAAGCTAAGTTAGGTCCATAGCAAGCAGAGAGTAGGCCGGGGTGAGCCAATAGGCCACGTACCCCGGAGGCGTGGGGCAGCAGAAGGTTGGCAATTTCTTAATTCACACATTTTGGCCTGCAATCTTTTCTCTACTCTCAGAATATGCCAAACTCCCTCTCTTTCTATTTTTTTCTAAAGATTTATTTATTTATTTGAAGGCAGAGTTACAGAGAAAGAGCATGAGCATGAGCACGTCCCTCCTCTGGTTCACTCCCCAAGTGGCTGCAGTGGCCGGGGTTGGGCCAGGCTGAAGCCAAGAGCTTAGAATGTATTCGAGTTCTCACAGGTGGGTGCAGGGGCTCAAGGACTTTGGCCATTTTCTGATGCTTTCCCAGGTGCATCAGATGGAATTGGAGTAGCCAAGACATGAACCTATCTATCCACTGGTTGTGGATAGAATTTGAGTTCTTACTCATTTTAGCAAGAATTTACTGATCTCCTGTGTGCTAAGCATTGTTCTTGATGTTGGAGATTCCTAAGTATGAAAAAGGCTATAAATACTTTTACATATAAATATATAATCTCAAAAGCCTAATGTGCTATGAAGAAAATAAAGCTAAGTAAGGATATAGAGAATGATGGAAAGGAAGTATTATTGTCCTTGGCTGGGAGATGACGTAGAAGCTGAGACTTACAAGGTGAGAAGATGCCTGCAAAGGTCTGTGAGGTGTTTATTCCAGCAAAGGAAGCTGGAGCCTGTCTGATCAACTTGATCCATTCTGGGAGTGGCAACAAAAACCAGCAGGAAATCGGGGTGGGAAGGCGGGCAGTGTACAGATACTTGAGGCTATTGGAGTAGCATGGGTAGTGGAAGGCAGTGAGAAGTAGTTGGATCCCAGATACTCTGGGCAGTGGGTAGAGGGTAACTACTTTATTCAAGGTAGAACAAACAGGATTTGCTGGTGGATTATATATGGGAGTAGAGGATGGAGGCGGACAGGGGAGATTGACCCCTATATCTGGGTCTAGGTTCTAGTTCATTGTGTCTAACATAGTGGTTGGCTTATAGTAGAATCTTAAAACATGGTTATGATTTAATGAGGCCGTCTCAGGCAGTGCAGCCTTTGAAGACTTACTGCTGATGGACATCTGGGTTTGCACCTGTTAGAGTCCTTTCTTTTCTTCTGGAGAACTATTTCTCTCCCAGTGTTAGCTTCTCAGTCTAGAGCAAGGACCGAGAACAGTGGCCTGGACTCCAGCGATCCTGTTTATATTCAGTGAAGAGGGACACAAAAGACTGCTCACTCTCAGCTTCTCCGAGCCTTGCTATGCTGTGATCTTCTGTGGACTTGTCTGACAGTGGTGAGTTAGGAGATCAGCCACGGCTGTGTGCGTTAAGACCCTGTCTTGGCTATACCTGTTCATGGTTAAGTTTTGTTTTTCTGAAATCACCTTGAGCTATTTTTTATCCATAGAAGGCAAAAGGTAAAATATAATTTGTGTAGTGGGAAAAGAATGAAATAATACGAGACTAGAAGGTCTGGCACTGCAGGTGATGGCTTTACCCTCTGTGGCACAGTGCTGGCTGCCATGTTTTCAGCTTTGACCCAGACTCTAGAGCCTTTCTAAGATAGGTTCTGAGTGCTGGTGCTGTGGTGTAGTGGGCTAAGCCTCCACTGTGACGCTGGCATCCCATATGGGCACTGGTTCGAGTTCCAGCTGTTCCACTTCCGATTCAGCTCTCTGCTGTGGCTTGGGAAAGAAGTAGAAGATGGCTTTCAAGTCCTTGGGTCCCTGCACCCATGTGGGTGGCTCCTGGCTTTGGATCGCCCCAGCTCTGGCCATTGGCAGCCATTTGGGGGATGAACCAGCAAATGGAAGACCATTCTCTGCCTCACCCTTTCTCTGTCTGTAATTCTACCTTTTGAATAAATAAAATCTAAAAAAAAAAAAAAAAAAAAAAAAAAAAAAAAAATAGGTTCTGTCCACAGAAGCCTTTTTTAACTATTCCAGCTCTTTCAGATTTCTGCCCTGCTTAGGTACTATCATTGTAGTAATAGCTTTTTTTTTTTAAATCATTTATTTTGAAGATTTATTTATTTATTTGAAAGGCAGAGTTACAGAGAGGCAGAGGTAAAGAGAGAGAGAGGTCTCCCATCTGTTGGTTCACTCCCCAAATGGTGGCAACGGCCATAGCTGGGCTGATTTGAAGCCAGGAGCCAAGAGCTTCTTCTGGGTCTGCCACACGGGTGCAGGGGCCCAAGTTGTTGGGCCGTCTTCCACTGCTTTCCCAGGCTACAGCTGAGAGCTGGATCAGAAGTGGAGCAGCTGGGACTCGAACTGGCACCCATATGGAATGCCAAAACCACAAGTGGTGGCTTAACCTTCTATGCCACAGCTCAGGCCCCAGTAAATAAATCTTAAAAAAAAAAAAAAAAAAAAATCCTCAGATGCTGTCTGCAGCTCAGCTGGTTCCAACAATTTTCCTGTAGAGCAGAAAGTTTGCTCCACTTTGAATTTTTCAGTCAAAATTGAGATGTATGTGGTGTTTATTCCTACTATAAATCATCAGTCTTACTCAAAGGTTCAGAAAAGACTGTTTTTTTCCTCAGCTTGATGTGAATGGTGTGGCACTGTGGACTTCATCTCCTACCTTCTTCAAATGAGTTGGCAAACTGTTGCTTTCTGTGGGGCATGGTCCCCATATACTGTGCGAAGCATTCTAACATCCAAACTAAACCATAAATTTAATGTTCCTTTTTGTTTCATTTTTTAGCAGAATTCAGTGGTGCTCTGATAGGAACTCATTTCAAATAATGCCTTATCCTCAATGCTTTAAACTAGATCCTGTCCAGACTTGTTACAATAAGGTTGTACAAATTTATGTTGGTACAAAAGGATTTTGAAGTCCATGCATTATTTTTTCATAGCACACATTTTCCTTCAAGTTTTTTAAGACACCTTGTATATTCTTGCTGCATAAAGAACCTTTAATAACTAAAAGAATACACAAACACACACACACATGGCAGGGGGAGAGAGAATATATATATATAATACTGGTCTGTAGCAACACATTATGTTAGTATCTTGAGTTTTTCTCCTTCATCTTTTAAAATATTTTTTTCTGGGTGTAGGCTTCTCATTTCAAAAAGTTCATCAAAGGCTGGCTTTAGCTGAGCGGTTCCATCTGCTGAATCAAAAAGCTCATCAAAAATGTAAATTTTGGAAACAACATGCATAGATTTCAAAATTTTTGCACAAAAATAAAGTTACCTTTTTAATTCTATTTTTCCATGAATTTTTGAACTTCCCTTGTAGTTCTGTGTTAAGATAATCATGTTGTCATCTTCTGGCCTCTGATCTCCAGTGAGAAATTTCCCATAATTCTTACCTTTGTTTCTATATACATAGTGTGTGTTTTTTCTTTACTATTTTCTTGTTTTGTTTTGTTTTGTTTTGTTTTTTCACAGGCAGAGTGGACAGTGAGAGAGAAGACAGAGAGAAAGGTCTTCCTTTGCTGTTGGTTCACCCTCCAATGGCCACCGTGGCTGGCTTGCTGCGGCCGGCGCACCACACTGATCCGATGGCAGGAGCCAGGTGCTTCTCCTGGTCTCCCATGGGGTGCAGGGCCCAAGGACTTGGGCCATCCTCCACTGCACTCCAAGGCCACAGCAGAGAGCTGGCCTGGAAGAGGAGCAACCAGGACAGAATCCAGCGCCCCAACCGGGACTAGAACCTGGGGAGCTGGCGCTGCAAGGCAGAGGATTAGCCTAGTGAGCCGTGGCGCTGGCCTCTTTACTGTTTTCATGATTTTCTCTTTTTCATTTTCAACACCTTGAATGTGATATGCATAGGTTAAGGGTTTATTTTTTGTCTTATATTTATCTGTCTTGTTATTTGAGATTCCTGTAGTTTTATTTTATTTATTTGAAAGAGTTATGGAGAGAGGTAGAGACAGAGAGAGAGAGAGATCTTCCATCTGCTGGTTCACTCCCCAGATGGCTGCAACAGCCGGAGATGTGCCGATCCAAAGCCAGGAACCAGGAGCTTCTTCCTGGTCTCCCACGTGGGTGCAGGGGCCCAAGCACTTGAGCCATCTTCTACTGCTTTCCCAGGCCATAGCAGAGAGCTGGATCAGAAGAGGAGCATCTGGGACTCAAACCGGCGCCCATATGGGATGCTGGCGCTTCAGGCCAGGGCTTCAACCTGGTGTGCCACAGTGCCGGCCCCCTGTAGTTTTATATCTAACATTGATTTTGGAAAATTAGGGTCTGTTGCTTTGGCATGGTGGGTAAAGATGCCACCTGCAGTGCTGGGATCCCATATGGGTGCCAGTTCATGTCCCGGGTGCTATACTTCCAGCTCCCTGTTTATGTGCCTGGGAAAGCAACAGAGGATAGCACAAGTACTTGGGCCCCTGCACCCATGTGGGAGGCCCAAAAGAAGCTCTTGGCTCCTGGCTTCAGATCAGCTCAGCTTTGGCCATTGCAGCCATTTGGAGGGTGAACCAGCAGATGGAAGATTCTCTCTCTCTCTTCCTGCGTTTGCCTTTCTGTAACTCTGACTTTGAAATGAATAAATAAGTCTTAAAATTTTTTTTGAGTAATTTTGGCCATTATATATATACAGATATTTCTTTTGCTCATTTTCTCTTTCTTCTCTTTTTGGTATTCTAATTATGCATATGTTGGGTAGTTTGATGTATCCCACAGCTGTTGAATGTTCCATTACATTATTGATTTTGGGTTTTTGCTTTTGTTTAAATAATTTTTTTTTGTGTTTCATCTCTATCGTTTTTCACTCTCAGGATTTCCACTGATTGATTTTTAATTTCCATATTTCTATTCCACTTTCTAGTATTAGTTTTTCCTTTTTTTTCTCTCAGCATCCATAGAGGACAAAATTTGGATTTAGTTAATTTTTTTCTTTTGCATATCTTAGGCTTACAAAAGACTTTTGACCTAGAAATCACCAAGAGCTGCTCCAGAATAGGCCATCAGAAGTGCACTCAAGCTGACTTAAGAAAGCTGGAAGTGAGAAGAGAGCTACAGACCAGATACATTGAGGACACAGAGCTGCTGAGTGGGTCCACCAAGTTGATCAACTCACTCGGGGTCAGTGTCATCCAAATCTATCCCTTTTTTCCCCTTCTCTACTTCACATGACTGTCAACATAATTATTTTACTCTATTTCAATCTGAACAAAATGAATATTGCCACTGTTTGATATCTTGTGTTCTTGAGTAGGTTAAAGGGTCCTGGATTGTAGCACCTTAGTAATGTTAGGTTTATACAGCCTCACAAGGGCCCATTTTTCTCAGTGGGGCAGGCATTCAGCCTAGCAGTTAAGGCTTCTGTGTCCCACATTAAAATACCTTGGTTCAATAATGACTCCAGCAGCCTGCTGATAGAAACCTGGGAGGCAGCAGTGATGGCTCAAGTAACTGGGTTCCTGCCTTTCACAAGGGAGACCTAACTTGGTTTCCAGGCATCAGCCCAATCCAGCTCCAGCCGTTATGGGGATTTGGGAAGTAAACCAGTGAATGGGGGCATTCTCTGTGTCTCTATGTCTTATGTCTCTCTGTCTGTCTCTCAAATAAGTAAAATAAAAAGTATACAATGAAACAGGAAACTTTTTTAAAGATGTATTTTATTCCTTTGAAAGAGCAGAGAGAGAGAGAGAGACAGAGAGACAGAGATTGAGACCTTCTTGCAATGGCCAGGGCCAGGCCAGACTGAAGCCAGGAGCCCCACCCGGGCCCCAACATGGGCACAGGGGCCCAAGAATCCTTGCCATCCTTTGACTTCCTCCCAGGCACACCAGCAGGGTGCCAAGTGGTGGCCCCACCTGCTATATTACAACGCTGGCCCCAGGAAACTTCTTGAGTCCTCTGTTTTGTCTCAGTAGTCATAGTTACAAATTTGTACTTAATTTGTTCTTTCCTTTATTCAAACATTTTGTAAGCCTGCCATCTCAGAGTTACTGTGCTACACTTGGTAATGGTTACACGGATGAGCAAGGTGTCCTTTCTGGTCCTGACATTGTGGAGCAGTGTGTTAAGCCACTCATGCAACACCAGCATCCCATATGGGCATTGGTTCAAGTACTGGCTGCACTTCCTGCCCACCTCCCTGCTTACACACCTGAGAAAGCAGCAGAAGATGGCCCAGATCCCTGGGCTTGTGCACCCATGTGAGAGAACCGGAGAAAGCTCCTGGCTTTGGCCTGGCCATCTGGGAAGTAAACTAGCAGATGGAAGATTCTCTCTCTCTCTCTCTCTCAGTTCTGCCTTTCAAATAAATAAATAAATCTTTAAAAAAATCCATCTCTAACAGCTGGATAGACTCCTACTTTAACACAGTGTGATTAGTGATATACAGGTACAGAGTGTTACAGGATTTGGAAGCTGTAGTGATCCATTTGAGCTAAGAAAGATTGGTTAATGCTATGTAGAAAAGGTAGCATTTTAAGTGGATTTTAAAAAATGATTAGAATCTTGACAGAGAGGTGGATGGCTAGTCTGGCTAGGCAAACAGCTATGCAAAGGTGCTTATCTGTGCACTATTTGATCAACAATTTACACTCTACTCCTTTAAAAGCCCAATTCTTTTTCTTCATCTTCTACTCCGGTTAGAAGACTTTTTTTCTCTTTTCAGTGGGTTTTACCTCTTTTGTTTTCCTGTAGTTCTTAGTGATAGGTCTTATGGATCTAGTTGCGTGGTCCAGAGGTGTAGAGGTCACCTGTGTGCCGTGCAGGTGAAAGTATTATCGCTCATGCAGCCTGCTTCAGCATGTGTACTGAAGTGTGTCTTTCTGTGCATGCGTGTGAGTGCTGCCCACAGTGCACAGGACTGCACACTAGAAGCCACTGGAAGAGACCAAAAACCTTATACAACGTGTATCAGACATTTGCCCATCAACCCTTCCCCATGCTCTTGACATTTGTTAAGCTTCAACACCTTCTTAACTTCTCTATCTTCTTTCCTACCAAGTACAGGAGTGTTGTTCAAAAACTGAATGCATTCTGCCCTAGTTTCTTTTTATTGCCAAAAATATTTATGTTGCCTACTTTTTCTTTGTATTTATTCTTTTTTTTTTATTTTTGACATTCAGAATGGATAGTGAGAGAGAGAGAGACAGAGAGATGTATTTATTCTGAACAATCACTGGGTTATTTAAAAAGGAATACACACAGACACATACGTGCATGCACATGGGGCTGTCTTCCTTCTATCAGAGGTTTGTGGTAGAGGTGAAGGTTTGAGATAAGGTCTTATTTTGAAATGTACCTGGGAGGTGAGAATCCATTAGTATTGTATGGAAAGGAGTGGACAGGCTTCCCTGATACATTTTCTGGAGAAAAAACTGCAAGGGAAGGCCAGCCAGGTTTGAAGAATTCTTAATGATTTGTGCTCTTGAGAAGCCCTGTACCCAACTGGTCATGTGCTTTGACTTAGCTGTTTGTGATCTGATTCCAATGTTGTCTTTTTCTAACCCTGACCCAGACAAATGAGGCTTGATGAGGTGAAATACGTACAAGATAGCTAGTCCCAAACCGAATTCCTCTTAGTTCTTCATGTATAGCAAGTAGGACTTTTAATGTCTGGGAGTACTGAAAATTACTTTACCAGTTAATACTAATATTTTCTCTGGGGTAGGAAGCTGAACCATCTCTCTCCAGAAATGTCTTCGGAAAGTAAAGAGCAGCATGACATGTCACTCAGAGACTCAGTGGAAGGAATTGACCAGCTTCCATCTGGGATCCATCTGGAGCCTCAAAAGGAATCAAGTACTGACTTCAGGCAATTTGAGAAAAGTGACCACTGCAGACCTTATCCTAGGATCCGTATGGAACCTCAAGAAAAGTCAAATGCTAACTTCAAGCAGTTTGTCATCAAAAAGCTACAGAAGAGCTGCCGCTGCAACCGAACCAAAGCAAAACATATGATTTTTGATTTCCTTCCTGTTTTGCGGTGGCTCCCAAAATATGATATAAAGAAAAACATTTTAGGAGATGTGATGTCTGGCTTGATTGTGGGCATCTTATTGGTACCCCAGTCCATTGCTTATTCCCTGTTGGCTGGCCAAAAACCTATCTATGGTCTGTATACATCTTTTTTTGCCAGCATCATTTATTTCCTATTTGGTACTTCCCGTCACATCTCCGTGGGCATTTTTGGAGTACTGTGCCTTATGATTGGTGAGGTAGTTGACCGAGAACTTCACAAAGCTGGCTATGACACTGCCCAAATTGATCCTTCTTTAGGAATGGTTTCAAATGGGACCACATTATCAAACCACACATCAGACACGATATGTGACAAATATTGCTATGCAATTAAAGTTGGCAGCACTGTAACCTTTATGGCTGGAGTTTATCAGGTAAGAAACAATGGAACAATTGATCATTTCTGGCAAAAACACTATTTATGAAATTTTGTATCTATAAGAGATCTTAGGGAGCAGAGTAATTAAAAACTGTCATTTACCGAATGTGCAGGATATATGAATGTTAAGAGCAAAAATTGGAACCCCTGAACTCTGCAGGTAAGATTTGGTTCTCTTATCCAACCCTAGGCTGCCTTTGTTTGTTTTAAGGGATATTATTTATTTATTTGAGAGAGTTACAGACAGAGAAAGGGAGAGACAGAAGGGTCTTTAATCCACTCATTTACTTCCCAAATGACCACAATGACCAGAGGTGGGCCGATCTGAAGCCAGGAGCCAGGTGCTTTTTCCAGGTCTCTAGTGCAGGTACAGGTCCCAAGCACTTGGGCCCTCTTCTACTGCTTTCCCAGGCTACAGTAGAGAGCTAGATCGAAGGAGGAGCAGCTGGGACTTGAACCGGCACCCATATGGGTTGCAGGTACCTCAGGCAGAGGCTTAACCCACTATACCACAGCGCCAGCTCCCTTGGGCTGACTTAACCATGAATTTGTTAGCCAGGTTTTAATTATTCGGTTGTAAAAATTTAGACCAGAAATGATCCTTAGACCTCCTAGTACAACTCCTTAATAAAAAAAAAAAATAAAAGATTATTATTGTAGAAAGAGAGAGCATGCGCGAGAGCGAGAGAGCGCGCACCTGTCTGCTGTTTCGATCTCCAGATGCCTACATGAGCTTGTGGTGGGCCAGGCCAAAGCCAAAAGTGAGGAACTCGATCCAGGTTGGATCGTGGTAGTGGCAGAGACTCAAGTGCTTGAGCCATCTGTTTCCTCCCAGGATGTGCATCAGCAGGAAGCTGTCATTCAGAGTGGAGCAGAACTGGAACCCAGGCACTCTGATATGAGATGGAGGTATTTTAACTGGCATCTTAACCACCAGGCTAAACGCCCATTCCCCTACATGTCAGAAAATACTGTATTTGGTTGAGATTGTGTGAGGTTGGTTATTGGCAGACTCAGCATGAGCAGTCAGGCAAGTAGATAATAGAATGGATGTTGGGACAGGAGTGCAGTTTTCAGATTATACATGGCCTCTCCCCTCCTTTAGAAGTGCTGCTCTAGGAGTGGCTGTTACTAAGGATAGTGGTCCTCTTGCATTGTTGGTGAGGGAGGGAAAAGTTGAGAGCTACAATTTCCTAACCGCAGCCAGGAGAAGGGGTTAGAAATGAAATTCTCAGGTCTCCCATGAAATTCCTGATCTGCTGTTACCATCATGCCCCTGCCTATTATCACCCAAGAGTCAGCGCTAAGACTAATGCCTTCTTTTTTTTTTTTTTTTTTATTTTTGACAGGCAGAGTGGACAGTGAGAGAGAGAGACAGAGAGAGAAAGGTCTTCCTTTGCCGTTGGATCACCCTCCAATGGCCGCCGCTGCAGCCGGCGCACCGCGCTGATCCGATGGCAGGAGCCAGGATCCAGGTGCTTTTCCTGGTCTCCCATGGGGTGCAGGGCCCAAGCACCTGGGCCATCCTCCACTGCACTCCCTGGCCATAGCAGAGAGCTGGCCTGGAAGAGGGGCAACCGGGACAGAATCCGGCACCCCAACCGGGACTAGAACCCGGTGTGCCGGCGCCGCAAGGTGGAGGATTAGCCTATTGAGCCACGGCGCCGGCTAAGACTAATGCCTTCTGTCTTGCAGCCGTTCGGAGCCAGCAAGGGCAGGGAAGAGTGGCTCCCTTTACTTGGTGCTTCCAGGGGAAGGGTGTGAAGATGATCTGTGCTCCTCAGAGTCCACTCCTGCGTGTGCTTAACCGAGAGGGATGAAAGGGCCATAGAATTCTGAGGAATTGGGAAGGGGAAAGAAACACAAATAAAAAAAGCTGTCTTAGAGGAATCTGAATTATTACCGATATGGGAAGGCAGTATGGCATATGCATATGTACACTGGATGAGAACAGATTCAGGAAGTTAAGAATCCTAAAGTCACTTTTTGAAAGTTTTTTTTTTTTTAATTTATTTGAAAGTCATGGGTACTGAGGGGGCAGGGGACAAAGAGAGAGGGAGAGGGAGAGGGAGAGAGAGAGATTTACAATCCACTAGTTCGTTCCCCAGATGATTGCAGTAGCTGGGTCTGTTCCATGCTGAAGCCAGGAGTGAGGAGCTTCATCCAGGTCTCCCACATGAGTGGCAAGGACCCAAGTATTTGGTTCATCTTCTGCAGCTTTTCCCAGACCATTAGCAGGGAGTTGGATCAGAAGCAGAACAGCTTGAACTTGAACCATTGCTTATAGGGGATGCCGGTGTTGCAGACAGAGGCTATCCTGCTATGCCACACACTAGCCCCCTTACAATAATTTTTAAAGTGTGATTCTATTTTGATGTGAATCTAATTTTTTTTTTTTTTACCAATTAAAACATCATAATATTCTCCCTGATCGGTGACAACTAACCAAGCACCAAAAAGGAAACCTGTTGAGGTGAAATGGACACTATGAGAAACAGTGACTTGATCAGCCCTTGTCCCGACTGTTGATGTACAATTTAATATTTTATCCTTTTTAGTATTTTTTTTTGTTCTACTTAATACTATTGGTTGAACTCTGTAATTAGCACACAATTATTCTTAGGTGTTTAAATATAACTGAAAAGTGATCTCTGTTAAGAGTGGGAATAAGAGAGGGAGGAGATGTACAATTTGGGACATGCTCAAGCTGACTTGCCCCAAATGGTGGAGTTAGAAATGTGCCAGGGGATTCCAATACAATCTCATCAAGGTGGCATGTACCAATGCCATCTCACTAGTCCAAGTGATCAATTTCAGTTCACAATTGATCATACTGATAGGTCTAAGAGTTAAATGGATCACATAAACAAGACTAGTGTCTGCTAATACTAACTGATAGAATGAAAAAGGGAGAGAATGATCCAACATGGGAAGCGGGATACACAGCAGACTCATAGAACGGCAGATGTCCTAAACAGCACTCTAGCCTCAGAATCAGCCCTTAAGGCATTCAGATCTGGCTGAAGAGCCCATGAGGGTATTTTAGGCATGGAAAGCCAAGACACTCTGGCAAAAAACAAAACAAAACAACCTAAATGAAAGATCTCTGTGAGTGAGATCCCAGTAGAAAGAACGGGCCATCAAAGAAGGAGGTACCTTTCTCTGAAGGGAGGAGAGAACTTCTACTTTGACTATGACCTTGTCTAAATAAGATCGAAGTCTGCGAACTCAAAAGGCTTCCATAGCCTTGGCAACTCATGACAAGAACCTAGGGAGATTACTGACGTCATAAACAAGAGTATCAATTTGTTAAGTCAATAACAGGAGTCACTGTGCACTTACTCCTCATGTAGGATCTCTGTCCTTAATGTGTTGTTCAATGTGAATTAATGCTATAACTAGTACTCAAACAGTATTTTACACTTTAAGTTCTGTGTGGGTGCAAACTGATGAAATCTTTACTTAATATATACTAAATTGATCTTCTGTATATAAAGGTAATTGAAAATGAATAAGTCATAATAGTGATTTATAGTTAGAAAAACATATATGGTTTCTTAATTAGGAGGATTTTTCCAATTTGAGTTTTGGTTTTCTTGTGGATTCTTGAAAATTGTTTTTTTCTTTTTGAAACTGGTCTTATTGTAGTGTAAGTTGCATGAGAAGGTGGAAGTCCTAACTTCCTGTTTCACTTGGGCTAATGAATAACTGGAGTGAGTTTAGACAAGTTGCTTAGTCCTCCAAACATCAATTTCCTGTCTTTGTAAAAATGAAGATTGACGTATTATTGCATTTTTCTACCTCTGACATTCTGTGATGCTCTGATGGTATGTCTTCATGCCAGAAATATCAGGGTAATAGGAAATTTAGAAGCTCTTTTCCACTTATATTTAACACTTGTATATCTTTTCTTCTAGGTAGTGATGGGCTTCTTTCAAGTGGGCTTTGTTTCTGTCTACCTCTCAGACGCCTTGCTGAGTGGATTTGTCACGGGTGCCTCCTTCACTATTCTTACATCTCAGGTCAAGTATCTCCTTGGGCTCAGCCTTCCTCGGAGTCATGGCGTGGGCTCACTCATCACTACCTGGATCCACATCTTCAGAAACATCCATAAGACCAATATCTGTGATCTCATCACCAGCCTTTTGTGCCTTTTGGTTCTTGTGCCAACCAAAGAACTCAATGAGCACTTCAAGACCAAGCTTAAGGCACCAATTCCTACCGAACTCATTGTCGTGGTGGCAGCCACGTTAGCTTCTCATTTTGGGAAACTAAATGAGAAGTACAATTCCAGTATAGCTGGACACATTCCCACTAACTTTATGCCACCCAAAGCACCAGACTGGAACCTCATTCCCAGTGTGGCTGTAGATGCGATAGCTATTTCCATCATTGGTTTTGCCATCACTGTGTCACTCTCTGAGATGTTTGCGAAGAAACATGGCTACACAGTCAAAGCAAATCAGGAAATGTATGCCATTGGCTTTTGCAATATTATCCCTTCCTTTTTCAATTGCATCACTACTAGCGCAGCTCTTGCAAAGTCATTGGTTAAAGAATCTACAGGCTGCCAGACTCAGATTTCCGGTTTGGTAACAGCCCTGGTTCTTTTGTTGATCCTCTTGGTAATAGCTCCTTTGTTCTCTTCCCTTCAGAAAAGTGTCCTTGGTGTGATCACAATTGTCAATCTCCGGGGAGCCTTTCTTAAATTTAGGGATCTGCCCAAGATGTGGAGGGTTAGCAGGATGGACACAGTCATCTGGTTTGTTACTATGCTGTCCTCTGCACTGATAAGTACTGAAATAGGCCTGCTTGTTGGGGTTTGTTTTTCCATGTTTTGTGTCATCCTCCGTACTCAGAAGCCAGAGGTTTCACTGCTTGGCTTGGTGGAAGAGTCTGAAGTCTTTGAATGCATGTCAGCTTATAAGAACCTGCAGACTAAGCCAGGTATCAGGATTTTCCGCTTTGTAGCCCCTCTCTACTACATAAACAAAGAATGCTTTAAGTCAGCTTTATACAAAAAAACTATAAACCCGGTCTTAGTAAAGGCTGCTCAGAGGAAGGCAGCAAAAAGAAAGATGAGAGAGGAAACACTGACTCTCGGTAGAGTGCAGGATGAAGTTTCAGTGCACCTTTCCCATGATCCTCTGGAGCTGCGTACTATAGTGATCGACTGCAGTGCAATACAGTTTTTAGATACAGCAGGGATCGGTGCCCTCAAAGAAGTTCGCAGAGACTATGAAGCCATTGGTATCCAGGTTCTGCTGGCTCAGTGCAATCCTTCTGTGAGGGATTCCTTGGCCAGGGGAGAATACTGCAAAAAGGACGAAGAAAACCTGCTCTTCTACAGTGTGTATGAAGCCGTGGCTTTTGCTGTGGAAGCTCAAAAACAGGAAGCAACATGGGTTCCCAATGGTCTGAGTCCAGCCAGTAATTGAGAGTGTAGATGGAAGGAAGAATGATGTCTCACTAAAAGGTTAAAATTTCAAGTATGCAACATGTTTTAACCTATTGGCTAAACATTATTCTTCCTTTGAAGCTAATGGCCTTTGTGTGTACTCAAATGTTTCAGAGCTCATAGTTGGGCAGAATCAAAACAAAAGTATTGTGGTTTCAAGCTTTCTTGTAGATATGAAATATTCATGGGATGCAATAAGTATCTGTTGGATTGAAATGTAAAATAGTCACAAAACGTATTACCAAACTGTTTTAGAGGGTGCGACGTTTGAACTCTTCCTTCTGCAGGAGGTAAAGGGGAGAAGTCGGGGTTGGCTTTAGCCGGGCTGCCTGTACGTGGCTCTGTCGAGAGAGGAAAAGGAGGCAAGGAAAGAATGTTGCACCTGCTGTTGTAGTGGCAGATCAGAGGCTCCTGGAGCATGAGGTCATAGCTAGAGCAGATTGTTCTCAGTCGTGCTTCTCTATTCGCAGGCTCCGCTCCCCAGGCAGCAGTAGGATCTCTGGCTTTCTGTAGGAAAGCACCATTCCTCTCCCTCAGGCTGCGAGCTCTGGGCGCAGTCTCTCAGGGCTCTAACGACTGGTGGGTTTGTGATATCTTGACAGCCGGCCTGACATTATACACAACACCCTTTGTGAAACAGTTGATGTTTTGGGCATGCCTTTTTGTTGAGGATAAATTATTTTAGAATAAGAAGAAACCAGTGGGAGATCTCTTTATTTTCTGTGATTTTTATCTGTTGTTGTTTCTGAGAATTTCTCTTGTTAAGCTTGTCTTAGTGTTTGGTTGTTGTAGTGTGTTTTCCCATCGGTTGTGTCCTAAGCTGTCTGTCAGTGACAGTCTTGCCAGACATAAAAGCAGAGTGATGCCTCCACAGTGTCTGACAGCATGTTTTTCAAATGCTGTTGAGCCAAACTGTCATGGACAAATTGCTAAAAGCAGTGCCTGACAGTTTACCTTAAGAATTGGTTTACTGGGGCAGGCATTCGGCCTAGTAGTGAAGACATGTGCACCTGAGACCAGAGTGGCTGGGTTCATTTCCCACCTCTAGCTCCTGCCAACGTGTACCATGGGAAGCAGTGATGACGAGCAGGTGGCTAAGTTCCTGCCCCCCAGCTTTGGCCTTGGCCACCTCCTGCCAGCTATCCCTGGCATTTGGGGAGTGAACCAGCAGATAGGAGCTCGCTCTGTCTCTGCCTCTCAAACTTTGAAAAATTAAAATTAAACCTAGAGTATTTAGGAAATAATAACTGGTTTGCTTAGCAGAAAATCTATTTTTGTTTCTCTCAGTGGCATTTTAGCAGGGGTCTGCTGGGGATTGACAGTTTTTCTCCTAGAGACTGCTGCAAGAAAAACTTAATGTAACCAATGAAAAAGAATGCGCGGAAGTGGCAGAACATTTACGAAGGACATCCTAAGTAATTTGTAAATATTTTAGTGAAACGAAGTTTATTGCTGTACACCCTATTGACGTACAATAAATATTGACAGTGACAGCTTTTAACTCTTCAAATCACCTAAAACTATCACCCGAGTGGATTTAGAAGCATCACATTCATAAAACCTGAGTTCTGTATGTATATTATTTATGATAGCTGGCCACAGGTTGTGAATTGAGGGTAATTTCTATGGAAAAGCATCAGTGTCCAATATTGAAAACTTAGCATTGTGTATCTAGACCTTGACAATCAAGACAACAGGTTCTGGGGGCCTGCACTGTGGCTTAAAAAGTTAGGATGCTGTGTGCAGTGTCAGCATTCCATGTGGGTGCTGGTTCGAGTCCTGGCTGCTCCACTTCTGATCTAGCTCCTTGCTAATGTACCTGGGAAAGCTGCAGAAAATGACCCAAGTTCTTGAGCCCCCCACCCACTTGGAAGACCCAGAAGAAGCTCCTGGGCCCTGGCTTCAGATCTGTCCCAGCTCTGACCATTGCAGCCATTTGGGTTGTGAACCAGCAGACAGAAGATTCTCTTTCTCTCTGTCCATAACTCTACCTTTCAAGTGAATAAGTAAATTGTAAAAAAAAAAAAAAAAAAAAAAAAAAAAAAGACAACAGGACAACAGGTTCTTATTTTAGCATCAGGGAACTCATTTATGTGAGCTTGCTGCATTTAGCCAAGTCTTGTAAAACTATTGCAAAGTGAAAAATCTTTCTTTAAACCTGCTCCTACATTCTAAACAACTTAAAATAGTTATGAGAAGCAAACCCTACGTGTAGGGTATTTGTTGGAGCGGGATATTTTGAAACATATTAAATATGCACATCATTATATATATATATATATATATATAAAATTCAGCCTTTTCTGTTGTCTTCATAAACTTCCAGTGATGCTTTTCTATTGGTAGAGCTATCTGCCTTGTTTATATGGCAAATACCTTTCTGTTAACACAGCACAGTCATTTCTCAGAAGAAAACTTGGATTTCTATCTTGACTTGATGGTTAAATATAACGGTCTTGAATTTTTACAACCTCTTAGAATTTAGGTCTAGAATTTCAGTAAGTTTAACTGCTGCTTACAGTTGTGCTTTTTTGTGTGTGTTTTTAGCCAGTATTTGCCCTTTCTGTCTAGCCTTACAAATAATAATAGCAGAACCTCAGGATCTGGGGCAGTGAGTCCTTTCAAATCCCTCTTGCCCATCTAGCGACCCAGCTTTGACTTGAGACTGATAGCTCTCTAATACTCCATGACAGAGTAATGAGTACATGTTTAATACAGCCTTATCATTCATCCAGTACCAGCACAGTGGAAGGATTTTAGTCAAATCGGAGGATTTGGAAGATCCCTCAAAAAGAAGGAATAGCAGAATTTGACTTCTCCATAACATTTCTGTCCAAATGAACTTGTAAACAATTCTAGAGGTTTATGCATGCAATTAGCATTCTTGAACTATGTTCTAACCTGTCCCACCAGCCTACCCAAATAAGTGATTCTGCCTTTAGAGGCCGTTTGTAAAACTGTTGACAGTTTCACTGGAATTGACATTCACCCTTTCTGCTTGGGTTGAGATCTGCCTATTCTTGTACATTGTTAAAGTGGTTCTGATTGCTGACATTTAGAGCTGTTAGCCTAGTGCACCGACAAAAAAGTGAATGTTGTCATTTGCTTTCATGCCCAAGGGCTTGGACTTTAGTTTATTAGTTTAGTTAGTTTTTAGTTTATTGGACCATCTTCTGCTGCTTTCCCAGGCCATTAGCAGGGAGTTGGATCAGAAGTGGAGCAGCTGGGACTTGAACTGGCTCTCAGATAGGATGTCGGCATCACAGGTGGTGGCTTAACCCACTGTGCCACAACACCGGCCCCCACATTTAACTTTTGACATTTAACTTTTAAATTTGTTAGAACGAGAGTAGTGAAGCATGCCAGTGTGCAAGTGGACCTAGGAAAGCATTTAAAGCAGTGTCAGGGAGTAGATCATTGAAAAGACTATTTGACCAGTGGAGGGAGAAAAGGGAAGAACCCAGTTGCCTGGGATCCATTCCCAGCCCCACCAAGTAGTAAAGAGATCAGGATTAGAAGCCACACCTGTGTCTGAGCGCAAGGTCAGAACTGGGGTCTGTTTCTAGATAAGGAAGGTAACAGACTGACAAATGCTGAGAGCTGAGGAGCACATGGCAGTCAAGGGCGAAAGTGTGGGTGATTCAAAAGTTCCTACTCTGTCACGTTGAGCGACTGGTGCATTCTGTGCCCCTTGTTGGCAGTCTCACTGACAGGTTTCCAGGTGAGCTCACTTGCTCAGATTTATTTGTTTAATTATTTATTTGAAAGAATTAGAGATCTTGCATCCACTGGTTCACTCACCGAGATGGTTGCAATGACCAGAGCTAGGCCAGGCCAACACCAGGAGCTTCTTCCAGGTCTCCCACATGGGTGCAGGGACACAAGGATTTGGGTCAACTTCTGCTGCTTTCCCAGGCCATAGCAGGGAGCTGGATCCAAAGAAGAGCAGCTGGGACTCGAACTGGTACCCGTATGGAATGCTGGTGCTACAGGCTGCAGGTTAACCGGCTGTACCACAGCACCAGGCCCACTCTTTATTTTTTAAGCAGCACCAGATGAAAGCAATGTACAATTTATTCTGACTTAGCTTTTAAACAAGAATAGACATTGAAGTCAAAATTTGTTGCTAAATGTACAGTATCGTAATTGGTAAAATTTAAAAATTCATGGATGTTAGCTGAATTCATTAGACTGTTTTAATGACTACATTTTAAAAAGGATAGTAAGTCTCTTAGTTTTTTTTTTAAAGATGTGTTTACTTATTTGAAAGGCAGAGTGACAAAAGGAGGGACAGATCTTTCGTCTGCTGGTTTATTCTCCAAATGGCTTCTAAGGCCCCAGACTGGGTCAGGCCAAGACCAGGAGGCAGGAACTCCTTCTGGATCTCTTACATGACTATCAGGGAGTCAAGTGCTTGAGCCATCATGCTTCCCAGGTGCATTAGCAGGGAGCTGGCTAGAAAGCAGAGTAGCCAGCACTCAGACATGGGATGCAGGCATCCCAAGAGGTGACTTAACCCGGTATACCATGATGCCCACCCTCTCCTTAGTAGTTTGTCATTTAACACTGGTCAGATTAATATAGTGATGTTATATTTATTTTATTAACATTAACTTGATTAGTATATTAGTACATTGATATGAAAGTAAGAAAAGCGCTTCAGTGCATTTCTTGGGAATGTAAATTGAGTCTCCAAGTTTTAATGACAAACACGAGCCCTGTAACCCTTACTGATATTCTTAAGGAGTTGTTTTCCTGCTGCTGTAGATGAGCCATAGCTTGTCTTCGCATTCATGGAGACTTAAGGAGTTGAGGAATTTCTGAGGGCCTGTCCAGGAGTCAGGGAGCCTGGGCCAGGTACTGGTACTATGGTTCTAAAGCCAGTAGCAACTGGGCCACTTAGGGAGGGATTTCTGAGCAAGAGGCAGGCATGCCTGTGATGTATTTTGGGAAAAGATTACATAGTGTAATGGTGAGAATGTGAATGGCAGAATTCAGAACTTGTTTAAATTTTTCTGTTCTTTAGTACATGTTCCCCTGCTGTTGTTTGATTTATTCTAGTGGTGCCCCCCCCCTTTTTTTTTTTAAGATTTATTGTTTCATTGAAAGTCAAAGTTGGAGGGAGGGAGGGGAAGAGAGAGAGAGAGAGAGATCGAGTGAGCGAGCGAGCAGACCTTCCATCTGCTGGTTCACTTCCCAGATGGCCACAACATCAGGGGCTAGGCCAGGCCAAAGCCAGAAGCCAGAAGCTTCTTCTGAGTCTCCCACAGGAGTAGCAGGGGTCCAGGCACGTGGGTCATATTCTGCTGCTTTCCCAGGCCTTTAGCAGGGAGCTGAATTGGAAGTGGAGCAGCTGAGACATGAACCAGCACCCGTATGGGATGCGGACATTGCAGGCAGTAGTTTAACCTACTATGCAAAATGCTGGCCCCTGATGCCTTATTTAAAACTGGGCTTAAAAACTGCAAAACCAGTAAAATTGGATCTAGAAAACTGTTAGGCTTTAAACTAATTTGATCTTCTTACCCTCCTCCTTTTTGTATAAAGATTTTAGATGATAGAAAATCTGGGTGCTAATTACAACAAAAATTAAAATGCAGCAGGACAGAAAAATACACCAGCTCGTTTCTTACAACCTATGTGATAAAGCAAAATATGGTTGAAATACTGTATTTAAAGGTAAAATTTAAAAGTTTTAAAAAATTTTTGTAGTAACTTGGACTGGAGAATTTTGATGTAGGAGTGAGGGAGACTTATTTTTATAAGGTATTTTTTATCCTGACAAGGACTATTTTAAAAAAAATTTTATAACTGAAATTTTAAAGTAAATATGTGAAATACACTTAGAAAGTATACTTAATAATGAATGATTTGGTGTGTATTTCTTTAACTTAGTGAAGTAAAACAAGCATGTGATGGAATTCTGAAAACTGGGATAACAAAGGACTCTCGATGCCTTTGTTAGAGATGCTGTGTTTCTGAGTGGCCTGAGCCAGAAAGCGTTTTTAACTGAAGCTTTAATAAGCTCGTTTTGGGGTGATTCTCTTCCCTTACTGCATACCTCATCCTACAATAGTAAGATCCTTGGAATCACACGGCCCTTGCTTTCCAGTGCCAATCACTTGGAAAGCTGGGGTTGGGTCCTGATGCTGCCATGGCTTCTGTTTCTCAGAAGTGAGTGCTTGCAGACACGCCAGTCTCTAACTGGCTGCTTGTTTTGGTCTCCTTTTTAACTTTGTATACAAACCAAGACAATGTCAGGGTGACAGGGGATTGAAATGAAACTTTCAGTCTTTCCAATCACTGCCTTTTCTTTTTCTAAATTATCAAGGCTGCTGACTTTTAGGGACGTGCTTTATATCATGTATTTTTTAATCAGAGCAAGTGCCTTGATGTATTTCACACAAGTGTTTGCTTAACCTTCTTATGGGATGAGAATGAGTTGCCACTGGATTGCCGCCTGTTGGAGGCGAGGAGAGTTGGTTAATAGATCCTTTTCTTCTGGAAGGGTATGTTTATGCTGTTCATTACGTGAGATCCTCTGTGTGTGTTGAGATAAAGAAGTGTCATTTCTTTTGTCTACAATAAATTGTTACTTTAATAAAATATTGTGTGTCTAAATTATTTAAGTGCAAGGGGAGGATTACCTTTTAGGTACCGCACATTTTAAAATACCATCTCTATATTTGGAGTGATTCTGTCATTAATTTTTCCCACCTACAACAAAGGATTTGGCTTCATAGACATGCAGCGTAAAGAAACCCAATTCTTTTTCTGGTCTCCAGTGAATCAGTTAGGCAATTGGGGACTCAATTTTCCCATCAGGGGAGAGGGGAGGGAGCTAGGTTGCTTGAGGACCTTGCAGGTCTCACCCTGCACCTGTGCTGTACCAAGATGAGAAAACCCAAATCTGCTTATTGTTGTACTGCTGTCCTGATTCTAAATTTGGCAACTGACCTTTGAGCCACATCTTTCCCCCCAGTAAACTGAGCTAACACCTTATGAGCAGTAAGAGAAATGGGAGGGGAACTCCCAACTGGAGCACGTCACTTGGTAAGGAGTGACCTGTACGGCTGCCCTTTGCTCGTGTCTGCCGTGCAGCCTCTCCTAGAACGCCCTCCCCTCTGTCCGTCTCAGAGTCCTCGGGGTGAGAGTAGATACAGGGTTCAAGACCGTTTTTAGTCCTCCTGCAGTCTGCCTGGGCATTCTGCCCCCAACCTGAGTCCCAGCCCCAGGATGCAGAAGTAGGACTGAACAGCTCTCTGAGGGCCCTGCATCTCGGGACTCCAGGCACCCACCCTGTCTACACACAGTGCCTGGGGTCCAGAGCTCTGTGCAGTGCATTCACCAGTCATGCTCTCGCATCTGGGGGGCTCCGCCTCCCCATCTGTCATCTCCGCACTTGTGTCCTTGGCCTCATCTCTCTTTACTTGGCACCACTGCTTAGTTCTGTATTTTCAAATCTAGTTGAGACTGATGAGAGTAGGGCACTTCTAGTATCCACATATGCAGGTGTACACACATGGATTACACACGTGGTTAGGAAAAAGGTTGGTTCATGGACCCCCGCGTCTTGAACACCTTAGGTTACCAGCTCTCTCCAGATAGCGATATCTACATCTCTGGCTTCAGTTGCCTTATTGTCTGTGTCCCAAAAATGATTTTCAGCCTGACCTTTCTAGCCAACAAGGAAATCTGTCTCTCCCCAGAGCTGTTCTTGCACAGCTTTGCCTGGATGCCCAGGCACATGCAATCTGACCCACAAACTCATCTTTCCTTCACTTAACCTCTCTTGATCTTGGCATGACCGTCACTTAAGCCAGAAATTCCCATGATCATCTTCAACTGCTACACCAAACTCATCCATCTTGTGTTTCTCTTGCAGTACCTCTTCCCTCCCTTCAGTGTTCATGATTTCTCTTCTGGACGGTGTCACAGCCTAACTAGTGTTTGAGCTTCTCTGCAGCCCAGCCTCCACATTAGTCACCAGTTATTTTACTGAATAATAATTTGACTCATGAATTCATGCTACTTGTCAGTGGTCCTCCAGTATTTTCAGGATAAGTGCAAAATTACTAAGTATCCTGCAAGATCTCAGAACCTCTTCCTTTGCTCATGTCTTTAGCTTGACTCAGTAAGCACTGCTGTTAGGTGTTCCCAGATGCACTGTCTTTTATGGGCTTTGTTGCTATGCCAGGAGTTGCCTCGCAGCTCCATCTGCCTAACTCCCAACTCCTAGTGTGCTTGGTAATTTTGCTACAGAAAATCCTCTTCTCTCATGCAAGGGCTCCTTTAGGCTCCCCCTTTGTATTGCTATCCCATTCTATTCACTAAATGACATTTACCCCTTTTTTTTTTTTTTTTTTTTTTTTTTTGGACAAGCAGAGTTAGACAGTGAGAGACAGAAAGGTTTTCCTTCCATTGATTCACCCCTCAGATGGCTGCTGCTATGGCTGGCGCACTGCGCCGATCTGAAGCCAGGAGCCAGGTGCTTCCTCCTGGTCTCCCATGGGGTGCAGGGCCCAAGGACTTGGGCCATCCTCCACTGGACTCCCTGGCCACAGCAGAGAGCTGGACTGGAAGAGGAGTGACCGGGACAGAATCTGGCGCCTCAACCAGGACTAGAACCCAGAGTGCCGGCACCGCAGGCGGAGGATTACCCAAGTGAGCCACAGCACCGGCCTACCCCTCATTTTTTAAAGATAGGTTTGTTAATTTACTTGAGAGGCAAAGTTAGAGGGAGAGAGGTTCTACTCTCTCCCAAGCCAGGGCCTGGAACTCCAGCCAGGTCTCCCACGTGACTGCAGGAGCTCAAGGACTTGGACCATCTTCCACTGCTTTCCCAGGGGCATTAGCAGGGAGCTGGATCAGAAGTAGAGCAACTGGGACTCAAAGCGGTGATCATATGGGATGCCAGCATCCCAGGCAGGGGGTTAACCCACCGTGCCCCAAAGCCAGCTCTACCCCTTATTTCCTCTACTAACTGAGCTGCCTTTTCTTTTAGAAATAACATGGTTTGCTTTTTGAGAGAGTCAGAACTCCTGCTGCTGATTTACTCCCCAAATGTCTGTAATAGCCAGGGCCAGGCCAGGCCGGAGCAGGGAGCTGGGAACTCAATCCAGGTCTCCTGGGTTGGGTGGCAGGAACCCAGTCACCTAGGCCATCACTGCTGCCACCCAGGGTACACATGAGCAGGAAGCTGGAATGAGGAGCAGAGCAAAGGTACTGTGACATGGGATGAGATGCTCTGATACAGGACCAAGTCGAATGCTGGCCAACTGAGTTTCTGAGGGTAGGGCCATGTTCTTTGTCCTTAGAGAACCTATGGCCAGTGATGGGTATATTAAATTATTGCAAAAATGGGCATGTTTAGTATAGATCATTATTTCTCTGACACTGGCTTACTCCCATAGCGTGTCTATCTGTCCAGGTCAATTACATGGCCTGTAGTTATCCATAGTTTTGAAAAAGCCTCTATTGAAAAGATAATGTGTAACAGGGATAGTTTATGTTGTCTGGGCACACTTATTTCTAGGTTAGTTGACTGAAGAAGTCCCACATCCTATGTTGCTTCCCTCTCAATCTCTGCCATTTCTGAGAATTTGTCAGCAGCCATTCCTGATGCTACATCAGGTGGCAAAACCCTCTCCCGTAATGATGTAGCCTTCCTGTGCCCTCTGGTGGCTGGACTGTGCTAAAACACCCACTTTGAAAAGCACAGCCTATGGTAGCATGAACAGCTGTTTAGCAAGTCTGTAGCCTTTTGATTAAATTAGGAGTCGGTGCTTTGTATTATGATTGGCTAGGAAAATTAAATGATAAATATTTCTTTCTTTATAAGATCTATTTATTTGAAAGAGAGGGGGAGACAGAGCTTTCATTCTTCCATCCACTGCTTCACTCCCCAGATGGCCATAATGACCAAGGCTAGGCCAGGCTGAAGTCAGGAACCAGGAGCTTCATCTGAGTCTCCCATGTGGATGGCAAGGGCCCAGGCACTTGGGACATCTTCCACTGCTTTTCCCAAGCCATCAGCTGGGAACTGGCTAGGAAGTGGAGCAGCTGAGACTCTAACCAGTACCCACACAGGATGCCAGTGTTTCAGGCAACAGCTTTACCCATGGTGCCACAACAGCAGCCCCAGTGAAGCATTTCTTGACATATAATAGGCAATCATCAGTAACTCTGACATTCTTTCCCCTTTTAAAGATTGATTTGAAAGGCTCAGCGATAGAGGAGATCTATCTGCTGGCTCACTCCCCGACATGGCCACAACCAGGTCTGGACCAGACTGCAGCCAGGAACCAGGAACTCCATCCTAACCTCCCACAGAGGTGGCAGGCTGTTAGGTACTTGGCCATCTTCTGCTGCCTTCCCAGGTATGTTAGCAGGAAGTTGGATCACAAGCAGAGCAGTTGGGACTCAAACCAGCCCTCTGATATGGGATGCAAGCGTCATAGCAGTGGCTTAACCCACTGTGCCACAACGCTCACTCTGGATGCCTTCCCTTTGACTCAAACAGCCATTCTTTGTGATAGGAAACAGAGAAGTTGAGTTAGTATCGATCCATCGGGTTGGTAGCACTCAAACCCTGAACCTCAAGATCAGGTCACGGAAGAAAGGATCGGAAGGAAGGTCTCTGACTCCCGATGGTACTGGTCGAGTTCCAGATAAGGATGCCTGGTAATGACCAAAGACAGCATTGCTAGCGCGCTTCGTCTGTTCCAGTGCACGTTTTACCCTCATGACAACACAGGCGAGGTGGGTGCCTCCTCCCAGTACGTGGTCCTACAGTATGCTCTCCCCAGATGTCCACTGACGGGACTGTTCTAACCTCCCTCCCAGGCTGCATCATGGCTCCCCTTTCATGCACTTTATTTCCCTGTACTCCAGCTTCCTAAGTATGGTATGCCGCAAGTACCAGAAGATGCTGTAATGGGCTAGATGGCTCTTGTTAGTTCCTTGGGCACAGATGGGTATACCTCTAGTAAATACTTGGCTAATTGTTGAAGGTTCAAACCTAGAGCTCCTAAATCAGGGAAGAGAAAGGATTTTAGAGTTCTGGATGATCTTTTATTAGAAGAGTTAGTGATGGGAGTATTCAGACGGCCAGCTGAAACGTGCTAGAATCCAGCTGGACCAGGGGTTCTCAATGGATAGTGGCCCAACAGATGGGGACATATTAGAAATGTAAGTTCCTGGGTCACGCGTGAGACCCACTGAATCAGAAATTGCAGGAAAGGAGCCCAGCACTCTGGGGTTGTGACAAGCCTTCCAAGTGATTCGATGTGAGCTAAAATTTGTAAAGCACTGAGCTAGACTCACTGGGAAGAAACTGGCCCTGGGTGCAGAGGGCACTCAATTCTCCTTATTAACCTGGTAGTTTCTACACTTGGTTGCACACTGAAATCAACTGGGAAGATTTAAAACTGCTAATACTTATGACCCATCACAAGAGATTGTGATTTAACTGTGCTACGATTTGGCTTGGGCTTTGGAATTTTGAAAAAGATTATCAAGTGACCCTAATGTGCAGACATGTTTGTGAAACACTGCCTTTATCAACATAGAACATGTATTAGTCAAACTCCATTTCCAAATTCCAATCAAGGAGTTTTTCTGATTATTTCAGAATACCAGAATGTTATCATACTAATACTGCTTTACTTACATTAGTTCAATCTGCTATCTAAAGAAATCTTTATTCTTGTAAACTACATTTAATAAAATAAAAGAGGCAGTTAATTCCTACACTATTTTGTTTGGAAGAAATCTGTGATTTGGGAGTCAACCAGAGTTTGTCACCCTTTTCATTCAGTATTCATCTGTGCCATTTAGCTGTCCAAACATGGCATCGGTAACACCCACACGGTGGAAAGGAATTGTCTAAGTTTCTACACACTTGAGATGGCCTCTGTAATGGTGGCTTTTGGCTGCTCAGGTGAAGATACTTCCTCATCCTCACTCCCAGCTCCACCAGTATTTTCACCAAGCACCAAGCCCTGGGTCCAGCAGCTCCTGGGAGATGATATCATCATTTGCAGCGACAAAAGTCCTGGAACTTTATTCTACTGGGGACACACACGGCAACAGCCACTGAGTGCCACAGCTTCTCAGTGGCAATGTCTGAGCTTCTCAGTGGCAATGTCTGATCCACAGACTGCTGCCCCTGTGTCAGAATCTGTGAATTCTACTGGGATGATGCCTGCCTTCTGCCAACATTTGACCACCGTGGACGGCTTCACTAACCACTGTGCCACAGCAGTCATGTCGATGGCCTGCTTGATGTCCACCTTTTCTTGGTCTTCACTACTGTTGAGCTTGAGGAGGATCTGTTTTAGAAGGTGGCTCCTGGCAGGCGCCGCGGCTCACTAGGCTAATCCTCCGGCTGCAGCACTGGCACACTGGGTTCTAGTCCCGGTTGGGGTGCTGGATTCTGTCCCAGTTTCCCCTCTTCCTGTCCAGCTCTCTGCTGTGGCCCGGGAATGCAGTGGAGGATGGCCCCAGTGCTTGGGCCCTGCACCCCATGGGAGACCAGGAGAAGCACCTGGCTCCTGGCTTCGGATCAGCATGATGTACCGGCTGTGGCAGCCATTGGAGGGTGAACCAACGGCAAAAGAAAGACCTTTCTCTCTGTCTCTCTCTCTCACTGTCCACTCTGCCTGTCAAAAAAAAAAAAAAAAAGGTGACTCCTATATAGATTTTCATGGTGTGAATTGTGCTGAGACACAGTGGCTGCAGGACAGCAGTACAGTTGGAGGGGAGATACCCCACTTGAATCCGCTTCAGCCGAGGCAGCACGCTGTGAACAGAGCGGTTGTCAATGAGCAGGAGGATCCGGTGTTCCACCGGCTTCATCCTGGCATCCACTTGCATCAGCCACTCATTAAACAGATCCCTGGTCATCCATGCACACTGGTTGGCCTGGTGCTCGCAGGGGAGGGAATGCACATTCTTGAGGCATCGTGGGCTGGCTGACCTACCAGCAATCAATGGTCGCATTTTTTCAGTCCCTGAAGTATTGCAACAAAAGGGTGCTGTCAACCACTGTGCTTGCCCCCTCTACAATGGTCCCCTTTAGCAGCAAATGTGTGCTGGGGAAGCAACTGGAAAAACACTCCTGTCTCATCAGCATTACACACATCATCTGGGCTGTAATCAGCAATCCGTTTTATAATTTTCCCTGCACGCCATTCGTTAACCTTATCTATTCCTAGACCATGCATTAACCTGTCACTGTCTTCTCTGCAGACTGCTTTCAAAGCAATTCCATGGGGGTCTCTAAATCTGTAGCCAGGCCACACTTGCTTGAAAATTGTCATAGCCAAGCATGTTGGCCAAGTTTAGTGCTTTTTTCTGAATGACGGAACCAGTCACAAGAACATTTTTTGGCATGGATTTCTTGAAACCAAGCAAAAACAGCCTTATCAGTGTCTTTTTTTTTTTTTTTTTTTTTTGACAGAGTAGACAGTGAGAGAGAGAGACAGAGAGAAAGGTCTTCCTTTTGCCGTTGGTTCCCCCTCCAATGGCCGCCGCACTGATCCGATGGCAGGAGCCAGGTGCTTCTCCTGGTCTCCCATGGGGTGCAGGGCCCAAGTACTTGGGCCATCCTCCACTGCACTCCCTGGCCACAGCAGAGAGCTGGCCTGGAAGAGGGGCAACCGGGACAGAATCCGGTGCCCCGACCAGGACTGGAACCCGGTGTGCCGGCGCCGCAAGGCGGAGGATTAGCCTAGTGAGCCACGGCACCGGCCTTGAGTGTCGTCATGGAGTGCATTCCTCATCCTTTTCTGCTGTGCACCCACAGAGGCCTCCCGCACCTTTTCTTCAAATTTGGTGCGATCCTGTAAGAAGGCAACGTCGCCTTTCCTCATGCCTGAGTCCACAGCTTCCACAACCTTCCTTTTTTTCTCCGGGGAGAACTGTCAACATTTCTTGTTCCCCTTGTTTGCAATTTCCAGGGAACAAGGCTGGTTCGCAGTGAACAGCGTCATATCCTTCCTGCTCGCGGCTTGTTTTGCCACAAGTGTGGACAACTGAGAAGACAAAATGGAGAAGACAAAACCTGTCAGGAACCACACAAAGTGAAGTCCCCCTAAAAGATGGGTTCAGATTTTTAAAAACTCTATTAGTAAATGATAGAATATGGCCAAAGGCACGAGAACGTAAGATTCATGCTACTGGCTGTGGAGACGACATACATAGACTCACAGACTATCTGAAACCAAAGGCATCTTACAGATAAACTGGTTTACTCAAACCTTCTGAGCCTCTGTGGAAATGGGGATGACAATGTCTGCTCTGCCCCTGTGAGCACACACTGAAATACAGAAGGTGAAAGAGATCTGCAGGCAGCCATGTGCTGCAGAAAGTCACGGAGTTATTGTCCACCTCGTTCTTGTTTTATGGATAGTCACTGAGGCCCATGTTCACGCAGCTCGGATTTCTAGACTCAAATTAGTACTCTAGCTACCTCTCCATGGCCCTGCTTGAAACTCCAGCAAAGTGACGTCTTCAAAGCTCTATCACTATCTGGCCTGGAAAGATGGTTCTGATAGTCACACATTCAGTTAATGAATATTTACAAGGGCCGAGTGATAAGGATACAGTGATGAACAACAGAGTCAAGGTCCCTGCCCTGGTAAAACAGAAGATGTTGTGGGGGTAGAGAAATAATAATAATTACAGAGGGAAGGAGATTTCAGACTGTACTGGGGAGTGGAGGGAGAGCTACTTACAAAGGGTGGTCGGGAGTGGCCTCACTGAGACGATGGCATGCAAGCCGTGAGCTCTGTGAAGAGTAGGGAGAAGGGCAGTCCAGCAAAGAACACAGCGTCAGCTGTGTTTCCAAAGCAGGAAAGGGCTCGAGGTGGCCAGGGAACTGAAAAGATTTGCACGACTCCAAGGTATGGCAAACGTGCACTGGGAAGAGTTGATGATTTATTCTGGGTGCATCCGAAACCCACTGGTTTTCGGAGAAGCAAGGGTCATATGTTTTGTATTTGAAGAATCCCTCTGGCTGTTTTTGAGAAATGGATCAAAGGGGCAAAGAGATCAATTAGAATATTAGGATGCTGTTGCTGCTAATTGGGGTGAGATATGATGGCAGAAGTGATGAGCAGGCTTAGGTACACTCCCTTTCTGGGCATGTTTTCCCAATAAAAAGTGGGAGTTGAAGGGACTGGGCTCAACCAGGAAGGACATATCAGGATTTGATGATACTCAAGCCTGACCTGCTTCAATGAGAATCTGAGAGGAAGTATTTTTCAAGAGTTTAGAAGGATTCTGCTATGTCTCACGCCTGCAATTCATGGTATCAGATGATCCCTAAAGTCCCTGTCTGAATGGAGTACTGGATTCTAGACAGGTGAGCCAAACTAAATGCCTTTAGGGGCCAGGATGGCAGCATAAGGTCTTGGGGCTGGCGCTCTGGCACAGCGGGTTAAGCCGCTGCTTGCAGTGCTGACATCCCATGTGGTTGCTGGTCCAAGTCCCAGGTGCTCTACTTCTGATCCAGCTCCCTGCTAATGCACCTGGGAAAGCAGCGGAAGATGACCCAGCTACTTGGGCCCCAGCCATCCATGTAGGAGGCCTGGGCAAAGCTCCTAGCCTCAACCTGTCCCAGTACCAGCCACTGTGGCCATATGAGTAATGAACCAACAGATGGAAGATTTCTCTCTGTAACTATGACTTTAAGTAATAAATAAATCTTAAATAAAAAGAGAAGGTCTTTGGAGAGTGTTGTGGTCTGTGTGTTGTTGGAGCTATTAAAATTTTAAAACAATCCCCTCCCCCCTTCCCCCGACCTCCCCACACACAGATTGGTCGAACAAAACATGATCAAGCTGTAGCGATTTTGGTAATTGCCTGCTTAGGTATTTTATCATGAGTGTGCTCAAAGAACAAAAGTGGCTGTGACTGCCCTTTACCAAGGCCATCCTTCCTACCACCTCCACCCATCCATCAGTGGCGTCCCCCATGTATCTGGCACTGGGCTTAATGCCAGCTGTACAGAGATGGAGCATACTGCCCACCACTGAAGAGCATACCAGGAAAACAGGGAAGACAAACCCTGTGTGAAATATTGCCACAGAGGTTACAGAGGACGGGAACACAGAAGTGGGGCACAGATGAGCAGTGCACTTCAAAGGAAACAGTATTTATGCTGACCCTTAAAGAACAAATTAGAATCCATGAGAGCTAAGGAAATACAAGGCTCCACAGAAAGTTAATGGAAAGTAGAATTTAAAAATATTTATTGTGGTGCAACTTTTTTTTGAAGTCCAATACACATTTTCCATGACTTTTTTTTTTTTAAGATCCTTCATATGTGTGGAATTCTTGGTCATGAAAAAATAAGTCCTTGGAGAAGAAAGGATTCAATCATAGGAAGGCTGAGATAGGATTCTAGCTTGATTCTGGGGCATTAAGAGGCCTTTGCAAATTTTCTTTTTTTTTTGGAATGACATGATCAGATCTGCCCTGTGGTTCTTTGGGTATAGGGTGGAAAACCCAAGGAATAAAGTCCCTTTTCCTAAGAGGAGGCCCTAAATCGAAAGGCAAAAGCAGCCTGGCCTCCTGGGCCACAGACAGCTTGGATGTTCACTGGAGGGCAGTAGGAAAGTACTGCGGGACTTTCACCAAGCAAAAGAGAGGAATTCTGTGTGAAGGATGGAATTTCAGGCTGTCAGAACCGGAGGAGCCCACATGAGATGAGATGGTGGCTGAGATTAGTAATGGAGATGGTGAGAAGGACTCAGTGTTGGGCTGTGTCTTTGCAGGCCTTGCTGATGGACTGGGTGTGAGGTGAAGGAGCAAGGGTAACTCCCAGATTCGTGAGTTGAGCACTGAGCAATCCACTGGATGGTGGTGCCATTCACTGCAATAGGAATGAACTGTTGAGGCTCTACTGAGTAACATAATTTGTTAATCCCACCATAGGCTTAATACAGCTTATGTGTGGCAGGGCTGGGACTCAAAGCCAGGGTGGCTCACGACAAAGCCACTGCTCGGAACGCTACAGAGCGCTCTGAAGCTTGTCTGGGAACCACCATTATTGAGAGGAGACCTGCGAAGAGAAACAGGCAAGAGCCAAACCTGACAAAGTCTTGGTCAGGCTGTCAAGTTTTACTCTAAGTGAAGGAGAAGACACTGGAGGGTTTTCAGCAGGGAGTGACCCGACCAGAATGACGGTGCCCCCAAAGCAATCCGGCTGCTGTGGGAGCCACAGGGACAAGAGTGGAGGTGGGAAGAACTGCAGCGGTCCAGGCAGGGGCGTGGCAGTGGCTAGGAGGCTACGCAACGTACGCGACGTGTAAAATGTGGCACAAGCGACAATCCAGTCCCATCCCTGATTCCCACAGCCTCTCCACACAATCCTTCGGCTCGGCTTGAGTGACTCCAGGAACTCACTGTCACCACCATCGGTGGGCCAGCGGGAGACGAATGGAGGACCGATCACGGCGGTGAGGAGCGGGGCTTGACGCAGCACTAGGAAGTACCAACTCTATTCTGAACGAGGGCTGGGGTCAGGCCGTGAACGTCGTGCAGAGGAGGGTGGTGCTGTAGCCTTCTCGGCACCCGGCGAGCCTCGGAGTGCTAAGACGGGGCCTCGACCTCTCACTCTCGGCACAGCCCCGTCCCTGTTACCTGAACGCCCCACAGCAGTGCCCGTGGGCTGAGCGGCCGGGGTGTCCCACAGCCGGCAGCCACAGCTTCCTCCGCCGCCCCGGAGCTGTGGCCGGAAGCAGTCCGTCCGTGTTAGCAGTCCCCTCCGCTGCGAGCCTCTGCGCAGTTCCTACGGGCCGGCTGGCCAGCTAGGGCTGGGCTCTTGCGCTTGCGCGAGGAGGGGGGGGTCACACGCCGTCACGCGCCGCCGGCCGCTTCCGGTGTGCCGCGAGGGCCGCCGGGACGGGTCTCCCTGGCGAACCGTGGTGTGCTGCTGGTGCTGCTGCTGCTCCTGTTGCCGCTGTCGCCGAGCCGGTGCAGCGGCGACGCCCGTGTCTCTGCTACTTTCCTCGGGATCCCCGGGGCTCGACCCCCGGGGCCCTTGGCCGGCGTCGGTGAAAAGCCTGCGGAGCGAACCCGTGCTCCTACACTCGCCCTTCACAAGCCCCTGTCGCCACTCCGAGGAGGGAGAGCGAGAGGGGCTGTCGCGACTCCGCGCCGTGTGTCGCCGGGCGGGGCCGCGGGGCGGGGGCTCCTCCAGCCCCCGGGATGCGCGCGCGAGCCCTCGCCTCCACTTCCTGGTTGCCGCTGTCACGACCGGAGCCGCCTCTCGCCGACCGCGGGGAGCGCGAGCGCGCCGGCCAGCCCCCACGTCGAGCGCCCGGGCCGGCCGCCTCCAGGCATGTGAGCCGCGCGGCTTGCACGCTGCTCTGGGTAAGTCCCACCCCCCGAGGGCCCGGCCACGCCGCCGACCCGCTGGGCCACCGGGAGCCCGCCGCTGCGGCCCTCTCCGCCTCCGGGGACTCTCCTGCAAAGTGGGGCTCGTGGGGCGCAGCTCCCTGCGCGGCGGTCGGAATTTTGACGTCCGAAACGAAGCGGGGGGGTAGGGATTAGCCTGGAGTCGGAGGCCGTCTCGAGGTCCTGAGGGTATCTCGGGGCACGGTGAAAGTGGCTTGCAGATTTGAGGGATCGCCTGCAACTGAGGCTTGTAGAGGGGACGGAGACGGCTTAAGGTCGCACGACCCGTGCTGGTATTGGTTGCTGTTAAGCAGCGGGACCTGAATTCGAACGCAGATCGGCTGTCCTCCAGGGTCCTTGGTTTTAACGTTTGTGCTATCCCGCTGGCCTTTGCCTCGCTGAAACACGATCTGAAAATAAACCGGGACGCAGGCTCAGAACGGAGCAGTCCTTTCCAGCCCGCACCCACAGATGGTTGTCCTGGCCTTCTTTTCGGAGCTGTTTTGCCCCCTAAACCCTGAGCGCCTTTCTCCACAGAGCCTCTCCCGCAGTTAGCTGCTTTTCTCTACAGGACTTGGAAGGGTCCAGAAGTCGCTGGTTTGAACTCCAGCTTCCTTTACGCTTTGCTGACCCATTGTTACCCAGCCAAGTCGTGGACTATTACAGAATGTGGCGCTCTTTTTTTTATTTGTGAGCTTTCTTTCTTTTAATAGGAATTGTTTAGAGATGACACAGAACTAAAAAGAACCTTGGGGATCGTGTGTTCTTAGCCTGGGCATGTCTTTAAAATTAAGGCTGAAATAGTCCATGTCTGCGTTTCCTTGGGGAGGGTTTTGGCTTTCACGGCATTTGACAGAGGATCCTGGGAGCTCCTGGGTGCATCGTCCTCCTCTCTGAGTAGGAACAGCTGAGGTTTGGCGTGTGAAATCTACAGATCTGAGATGGCGGGGTTGGAGTTCCCTCTTGGATCCGGCTCCTGGCTTGATGTCATGCATTAGCGGCCACCTCATTCATGGAGCGAGGTCTAGATGAGCTGCTTTGCACTGCTTCTCTCAGCCCTGGGTGTCCTCCCGCGTCTGCCTGTGTCCGGAGTCCAGACTGTCCCCCTGCCGGGTTCTCGGGAGCCACCGCATTATTTCCCTCCCATCAAATCGGATGGTTTCTCTCCTTCCAAGGACTGAGTCTGTGTGTAAAACTGCCAGTTAGAACTTGGCTACAAAAAAACTAACTTTTCTTGAGCTAGTCAGGTTTTTTTGTTGTTGTTGTTGTTGTTGTTTTTTTTTTTTTTTTTTTTTACAATTATTTGAAAGGCAGAGTTAGAGAAAGAGGGAGAAACAGAGTTTCCCTTCACTGGTTCACTCCCCAGATAGCTGCAGCAGCCAGAGCTGGGCCAGTCCGAAGCCAGGAGCTTCTTCTGGGTTTCTGACATGATTGCAGGGGCCCACGCACGTGTGCCATCTTCCACTGCTTTCCCAGGTGCATTAGCAGGAGCTGGATTGGAAGTGGAGCAGCCAGGACTCGAACCAGCATCCATATGGGTTGCTGATGCCACAGCTTTACCTGCTGCACCACAGCTCCAGCCCCAGGTTGTGTGTGTGTGTGTTTTTTTAAAGATTTGTTTATTTTCTTGAAAGGCTGAGTTACATTGAGAGAGAGGGAGAGACAGAAATCTTCTGCCTGCTGGTTCACTCCTCAAACAGCTGCAGCAGCTGGGCCTGTGCCTGGATGAAGCCAGGAGCTTCTTCTAGATCTCACAAGTGGTTGTGCTCAAGCACTTGAGCCATGCTTCACTGTTTTCCCAGACCGTTACCAGGGAGCTGGATTGGAAGTAGAGCAGCTGAGACAAGGACTGGTGCCCAAATGGGATGCTGGCATCACAGATAACGGTTTAACCTGCTACGTCACAACTCCGGCCCCATCAGATGACTTCATATCTGTGCTGTCCAATATCATAACCACTATGTGGCTGTTTAATTACGGTTAAGTAAAACAGAGTTCCTCTGTCACAGCAGCTGTATTTCAGGTGCTCAAGAGTTGTATGCAGCCAGTGGTTACCATATTGGCTAGCACAGACGTAGAACAGTTTATAGAACAGAATTGGTTTAGAGAGTTACCAGTGGAGATAAGTGGATGTGTAGCATAATGAAAGGCCCAAAGAGTTGGATTTTTGAATTAAAAAAACTCCCAGGTCCGTATTTAAGCCTAGTAGCCTTGGGCAGGTTAAGAATCTCAGCCACATTATCATCTTTAATCATGAACCCTTTCTTTTGTGTAGTGCTTGACAGATCTCAGCATTGTCTGTCATTTTGAGTCGTGTCACTATAAGTCTGTGTGATGGTAGATGAGGCATCTCCCCCTCTCTGCTATGAACCTAGAGAGAACTGAAGCTAAATCAGCAGAGGGCCAGCTCCCAAATCACTCAAGCTGGCGGAGTATAAAGTAAACATCTTATATGTAAGCATTCACTGTGTGCCTGAATGAGTGAATGAATCCAGAAGCTGTTTGCTTAGGGTAATGAAGCAGGTGAGGGGAGGGCCAGACCTGCCTCCCCACATGTCCTTTTTGCCTGTTTCCATTTGGAATTCTGTAATGAGGAGCTAAAAAATGTTTGAGCTAAAGGCTTCCTGTGAGTTTCCCGAGAATGAATACAAGTGAAAAAGCTCTCTAAGCCAGTGGTCCCAAATTTGCATGGTCAAAGGAATCACCTGCGGCAGATTTCTATCCCCTTTCTTCTGATTCCCAGTGGCTGACATAGAGCCCTGGAATCTATGTTTAACAGGTAAGCCCGGTGCTTCTTAGCAGCTGTTGAGGTTGGAAATGGCCCAGGGCTGTTTGGATATTTATGACATCTTTCACAGGCCATACAAAATAATCAGCTTAAAAATGAGCCTGCTGTAGATTTATTGAATTTCGAGTCCCACCTGTGGTTGCCTTGACAGGGCCTGACCCAGTGATTTCCCAAGCCTTATACATCTGGAGAGGGACATTCCCCACCCCATACACCTTAAGGCCAACAGCAGAGTTGAGGGATTATATAACCGGGAGGCTGCTGCCCTTTTTAGGGGAGATTCTTGAAACTCTGTGTTTGACTTTCTCTCCCCAGCCATGGATGCATCATACGATGGTACTGAGGTAACTGTCGTGATGGAGGAAATTGAGGATGCGTACTGTTACACCTCCCCTGGGCCACCCAAGAAGAAGAAAAAGTATAAAATACACGGAGAAAAGGCCAAGAAACCCAGGTAAGCCAACATGTTTCCATGGCTGCTGGCATCTGTAAACAGAAGCTGTTTGGGGAGCTGTGTTTAGCTGAGGGAGACCTTAAGATTCATTGAAAGGGTGCAGATGCTGGAGTCCTGGACTGGATGATAGGAGGAGAGAGTTGGGGGTGGCCCAGCAAAGGACTGGATTTATGCTCGCATTTGCCATTCCTGGCCAGACCTTGCTTACTAGGTGTCACCACAGGAAGTGCACCGTGCAGATGATAGAAGCTCTTCGTACATAAAAGAGCTATGAGCACATTATTTGTTGTTACATCATTGTTATCTAAATATTTAGAACATGTCATTAATAAAATTATAGAATTATAAATAATAATGTCCAAATTACAGCTCTTATGTTCCTCTTAACTGAGCGCCATGAACCCACTGAGGCCAGCAGCATTGGTTCGCTGTGATGCTTCTGCTTGCTTTCCTCTCAGCCTTGGGGAGGTATTGTCGACCAGTCAGCTGGCCAAAGACTGAAGGAGTGAAGCGTGTGAGTGGCAGGCAGCCTGGGTCGCCAGCCCCTGAGCGTGCGAGGACAGGACACCACATCTTTCTTTGCTTATATTGGGTTTTTACGCCAGTCATTTCTGCTGGAACAGTAAACCAGCTGAGCCGGGTTCCAGGTTTCCAAGGGGGAGAACAGCTGCTTGCTGTCTGCATTTATTTTGCCAGCTTCCCAGATGCCTTGGGGGCATTATTTAAATATTCCTTACTGGGTGTTTAGTCCTGGTTGAGATAGACTTTGAAATGAGAAGCTGGGTTTTCCATCAGCTGAACCCTAACACTGGTACTTCGCGGTTGAGTAAAGGAAAACCTGAAGAAGTCATTGCTTCCTCAGGTCTGCTTACCTTCTGTACTATTACGACATCTACCTGAAAGTGCAGCAAGAGCTCCCCCACCTCCCTCAGTCCGAGATCAATAAGAAGATTAGTGAGAGCTGGAGGCTTCTCAGCGTGGCCGAGAGGAGTTACTACTTGGAGAAAGCCAAACTAGAGAAAGAAGGTTTGGATCCTGTAAGTAAATCTTTTTCCTAGCTAATTTCTCCATTGTTTCAATAGGGAAAGCCTGGGGGAGACCAACCCCCGTCTTTTCCTGTCTCCTTTGCCTGGGAAAACTTATCATTTTCTTTCTTGAGTCTGTTATTGCCATTTGCATCTTGATGTGCCCTGCGCTCTCTCATTCTCTGGTTCAACAGCACGTGGAACTGCCATTCTCTGAGTTCTCTGCAGTGAGAACCTCCTTTTTTGAATTTTAGTATAACAAGTA